ATGGGCAGAAACTACAACAAGATGAAATCTTAACAGCTGGGCATACAAATAACCCCACATTTGGATTCCAAAAATTGACTATGTCAGTGCATGACGGGAAAGTGATTTGAGAGTAGACCATGTAAAAAAAGAGCTGCAGGGGTTAGCTGGGGTAAGTTACACGTGAACCAGTGGTACAGTGAGGGTAGTAGAACCCGTTGCCGTTGAGCTGATTCCAACTCATAGCGACCGCATAGGACAGAGAACTGCCTCACAGGGTTTCCAAGGAATGACTGGCGGATTCGAACTGCCGACCTTTTGGTTAGCAGCCGAGCTCTTAACCACTGCTCCACTGGAGCTCCAAAAGAAGTGGCATGTCCCTAAAAAGGGAGGCCAATGCCCTCCACTCAATTCAGCGCTGCTCTGGCCAAGTCCTGAACGCTCTGCCCGGATGTGGTGGCACACCAGGAGGGCACGTGAGGCCCTGAAGGTATGTGAAAGCCATCAGCGTCATCGTCAGGAGCTTCATGTCTAAAGGACTGACTGGGTGAGAGGAGATGCCACCCAGTTCTGTGGCACCTGGAATGGCACTTAGGGCCAGTCTTCGATGGGTTGGAGTTACAGGGACGATGTCCGCTTAATCTTAGAAGGCCCTACTATCAAAGAAACTGGGTGCCTGAGGGCCCAGAGGGGGGCAGAAGTTCTCCCTTAGAGATGCTTAGAAGCTCAAAGACCTTCTGTCTGAAGAGGGACCCTGTGCAGGCAATGCCCGCTAGGGGAGGTATGGGCAGAGTCCTGAATAGTCTGGTTAAAACCCTGGCTGACCGTCAGAATAACCAAAAAACAAGAAAAAAACCCGCTGCCGTCGAAGTCGATTCCGACTCACAGCGACCCTATAGGACAGAGTAGAACTGCCCCCTAGAGTTTCCAAGGAGCGCCTGGTGGATTACAAACTGCCGACCTTTCGGTTAGCAGCCGTAGCACTTAACCACTTTGCCACCAGCGTTTCCTCAGAATAACCTGGGTTGTTTAAAAAACATTGATTCCAGCCTCACATCAGTTCTACTGAATCAAAATCTCCAAGGGTAGGGGTGAGAGAATCTGCAAGTTTTTGTTCTGGATTAGAAGAGACTAGACAAAATAGTAAAATGCAATCGGTGAACCTTGACTGCAACTTGGATTTTAAAGAGGTAGAAAAGGCATTTGGGGAAGGCCTCGGCGCGTTTTATTATCAACTATCAGATGATGCTGGCTTGTTGATCGTTTTCTTAGACGTAATCACAGGATTCTGGAAACATGAGGGAATGCCCTTAGTCTTAAGCGATGAGAGCCGAAGTATGAAGAAGGGAAGTCATGTCTACGACTAATTTCTTTTTTAACAATAACTTACTTTTAAATGGTTCAAGAGTAAAGCAAATGAGGCAAACCGTTTGGAGGAGGGAACATTCATTTTATTGCGCTTTCACCTCTGCCATAGGCTTGAGATTTTTCAAAGTTTCAGGCTGGGGGTAAAATTAACCTGCCTAGCCTGTCCTGGTCTGAGCCAACCTTCGTTCCCGGATGAAATAACCCCTGTGGTTCCGTCCAGCCTGACAGCCGGGAGCATGAAGTCTGATCTACGTTTTGCAGCTTACCTACCGAGCTGTAAGGAGGTTGTGAATGTGGGTGCTGTCACAGCTGAGCGGCGGAGACTGAGGGTGCTGCATCGGGCCACAGTGACCCCTAGCGGTGCTCCATGCACTCGAGGACAGAGCACCCCAGGCATCCTGGCCTGTTGAGAACGCTCGGCAGTAGCCCACCCACCACACCCCAGCTGCCTGGATTACACATGGCCCAAGCCAAACATGGCTCACCTGCCGGACCCCCTCTGACAGTCCATCGCTGAAGGCAGGGCTGGACTGGAAACAGAAGCAATGGGTAAGTGCTCAGCTGCTAACCGAAAGGTCAGCTGTTTTAACCTACCAGCAGTACCACAGCACGGGAGAGAAAGACCTGGCACTCTGTTCCCGTGAAGACAACTGCCTATAAAACCCTACAGGGCAGCTCTACTCTGCCACACTGCGTCACTGAGTCAGAATCGACTGGATGGCACACAACAGGTCCTGAGAGATGATCTCCACAAATGAGGACATCCAGAAAAGCCATCAGACGGCGAGGCTGGGTTTGGAGGCAGGAAGGAGTTCCATGCTCAACAAGGGGCCACCCCGACCAGCTCCACAGAATGAATTAGAGGGGGAGAAAGAAGGAGGCAGGCAGAGGTATGCTGAGGGCTCATGAGCAGGGCCCAGGGCCACAGTCCCCGAGGGCAGAGGCAGGCTCAGGGATAGGCATGGACACTAGAGATTCACGGAGTTGCTGTCAGTGACACCTCTGTACTCACAAGGATGAGACCAGGGACATACAGGTGACAGTGCCAAAGCCCAGGCTCATTCCAAGGGTAGGTAGGACTGCGGGCTGAGCCCAGCTCTGCCAGGAGTCACGCCCTCAAGATCAGACTGTTTCTTTCCTGCTGGGCTCTACTCAAAGTCCCAAAGGAGGGACGGAGGTTTCCAAGTGTCTGAAGGCCAAGATGTGAGGGGCAGACACACTAGCGGGTGTGGAGGGGACCAGCACACCCCTTCTCCTACCCCTGCGACCCTCTGTGAGAGGTACACCTTTGCTACAATGTTGGCGAGGCTCAATCCAGAGACCGGAGCCTGGAGTCTCACCATAAAGCTGTCCCTGGAGGGGAGGAAGACTAGGGAGAAAGACAACCCCACAGATGGGGGCTTTCCGGGAGGAAGCGGACGAGAAGGCAGCCGGACCCAGGGAGGAGCTGACGAGATGGTGATCTGCTCAGGTTTGGAAAATGGGGTGCTTCTCTGATCAGAGGGACATAACTGATGCCAGGGTCTGCTGGTCACGTGAGAAGGCCTGAGGTGATGTGACCCGGGGGGAAATGCACCTTTTAGACTCTGTCTGGAGGACGATTAAGGAGCGTCGAGACAACCCGGGCATCACTGCTGTACACTGACATTCTTACATACACACGAGAAGTGCGAGACCACGTCTGTACTACAAGCACATATCTTTATTCTCCACAGTGACCAGGTAGCATTTTTCATACAAAATAAAAAATCTAAGACACTTTATTATCTAAAACTCAAGACTCTCCACCATCTTGGGGGAGAGGCGGGAGAAAAGCATGAGAAGTAACTCCAGGGCTGTGACCCCTCAGGCCAGAGCATAGACAGTGACAGGCCTGCGAGAGGGAAGCTGGGTGTCTCCTCCAGCGACGGGTAGTAGGCACGCAACCCTCACCCATCAGCACCATCCCACAGGCTCCTGGAGAAACACCCGGCCCCACCATCAGCTCTCCACTGAGGAGAGAAAGTACCGGATTTCTTGGTCACTGTGACATTCTGGCTCTTAATCCCAAGAAGGACTGGCACGCACTAATGGGGAACAGTGTGCCAAGACAAATGGTATTAATCAGGCTACTGTGTTCTAATCCCCAACTTCCTACTTTTTTACCCAAATAAAGGAGCAGAACAAGGTCGATCATTATCATCTTAAAGCTACGGCATTTCTGTTACAAACACAGAAAACACCACAAAACTCGTTCTTAGAGTATCACTCAGAAAGACAGCACGGTGGGAAGACACATTCAGACAAGCTCTTACACCCTCAAGATACTCCACTACCTGGAGTTAGGAGGAGGAGCCCTGGTGGCACAGCGGTTAAGGGCTTGGCTGCCATCCAAAAGGTCGACAGTTAGAATCCACCAGCCGCTCCTTGGACACCTTATGGGGCAGTTCTACTGTGTCCTACAGGGTCACTCTGAGTCGGAATCGACTCAACAGCAAAGGGCTACAGTTATGATAGGCCATGAAGGGCTTCCATGTAAATCCAACGTAGACATCTGGCTCAGAAAACCAGCCTCTGTTTCCCCATGAGGAGATCAGGGTCTCTGTGTCTGCGGCCTTAAGCACCACTTGCTCTATGCTGCCCTGGTAGGCAAGCACAAAGGTAAGCAAGTCAGGAGCTGGACTGTGGGCACAGGCCCTTCTTAAGCTCCTTATTCTCCAGGCAAAAAGCTCACCTGGAAGCAAGAACACATGGATTCAGCACCACTTGGAGGCTAAGAGAATTGCATCCCTGAAGGCAGGCAGAGACTGATCAATCCCACAAAGCTTGTCTTCTACTGTGGAATACGTGCTGTGACTATTTCTTCCCAAAGAAGTAGGAAGGCTCAACTCAGAGAACATGAACGTCCCTGTGGCTCTCCTGGCAGACGAGAAACCAGACCCTTCCCACCAAGCACATGCCAAGATCAGAGATACCCACGGAAACAGGCATTTCTGAGCCAAAAGCCTCAGTGTCAGGGAACAGACAGGAATCTACCTCATGCTTTCTTCTCTCGGCCCTGTGTGCCTCATACCTCATGGGCTTCTTTGGAAAGATGAACCCTGGACAAGTTACTTACGCCCTCTAAGCCTCTATTTCCTCACGGGTAGAATGGGGACCAGTGGTACTCGCCTCGTACGGGCGCTGTGAGAATACGTGTAAACCACTGAGCTTGGTACATAGAGCACACGAAGGGAGCACAAGATGTAGCTGTTGATGCTTCTCCACAGACAGAAGTAGAAGGGTGGCGGTCCAGGCGGGAAACAGGAAACAAACACAGCCCATGTGCACTGAGATTTCTAAAAGCCATCTCCAAGGCCAACGCAGGTCCCAGAGAAAAGATGTACAATGGCGTCATGGATTGAATTATGTCCCCCCAAAAATGTGTGTATCAGTTTGGCTGGGCGATGATTCCCAGTACTGTGTGGTTGTCCTCCATTTTGTGATTGTAATTTTATGCTAAAGATGAGTAGGGTGGGACTGTAACACCCTTACTAAGGTCACATCCCTGATCCAATGTAAAGGGAGTTTCCCTGGAGTGTGGCCTGTACCACTTTTTATCTTACAGGAGATAAAAGGAAAGGGAAGCCAGCAGAGAGTTGGGGACCTCGGACCACCAAAACAGCAGTGCTGGGAGCAGAGTGTGGCCTTTGGATCTGGGTTTCCTAAGCAGAGAAGCTCCTCGACCAGGGGAAGATTGATGACAAGCATCTTCTTCCAGAGCCGACAGAGACAGAAAGCCTTTCCCTGAAGCTGATGCTCTGAATTTGGACTTCTAGCCTACCAGACTGTGAAAAAATATATCTCTTTGTTAAAGCCATCCACTTGTGGTATTTCTGTTACAGCAGCACTAGATGACCAAGACAAACGGGCTCCGAGGAGGCAGAGAATACATCAAAAACACTGCATAATTTGGAGGCATTAAAATAAATGGTGCCTTCACATACTATGGAGCCCTGGTGGCGCAGTGGTTAAGAGCCTGGCTGCTAACCAAAAGGTCAGCAGTTTGAATCCACCAGCTGCTCCCTGGAAACGCTATGGGCAGTTCTACTCTGTCCTGTAGGGTCACCATGAGTCGGAATCGACTCGAAGGCAACGGGTACAGGTCTCACACACTATGCACACTATGCATCCAGAGGGCCATGAACAGCATCACACTGCGTACAGTCCTCCTGCTCACCCGACACGGGAGCGACACCTCATCTACAGGCGTAGCACCTCCCATAATAGTTAGTTCCCACGTCAAATAAAATACTGCCAAAAAACTGCCGATCCTTCATCTTTTGGGGTAAATTTAAACTTAAATTTAGGATTCCATCGTTTTTTATACTTAAAGCAAGCCACTAAAATATATTGGCATGAAGAGGGCATGCCGGCTTTATTACAGATGGCATCCCACGTCTTCTGAGATTGAAAACTAGGATGGCTTTCTCTCCTGGGCTCCTGACTGCTCCTTAGCTTTGAGCTCTTCTAGTTTCTTCTCATAGACACTGAGGAAGTGACCGTCTGGCTCAATTCCGGCTTTCTTCAGATTCTCCATGATCTTTTCCAGTCTGAGCACGGATGACGCCCCCTCAATCTTTCTTGTGCTCAAGTACAGAGTGAACTCTTGGAAATCCAGAAGCTTACAGGTGTCCACAGCGCAGAGATTCCTGATAGTGTTAGTCCTGTCCAAACGAGGAAAAAACACCAGTCCTGACAACTTCTCGAGGTCCTGGAGGCTCATCTGGAATTCAGTGAGCGGGGGTTGGAAGCCAATGGCCTCGTTGGGCACCACAAAGGCCCCTAGTGCCAGGGGTTCAGGAGACACTGGACTTTTGCGCGCCAGGATCACTTTATAAAGGTGTGAAGGAACTGCCACGTCGTCCTGCCCGATCACCTAAAAACAAAGCAGCTGTCTTAGTGAAGCTCACTGGTGCCAGCAGTTCCTGTATAAACAACCCCAATCCATCCCAGTGAATTTAAATTCAACTGCCAAAGTCATTATCAATCAAGATACAGACTCAGAGAAGATGGGCATCTGATAGGTAGATTCTGATTGCATTCTTTAAAATCAAGTCACCCCAAAGAGCAGGGACCACATTCTCTGCTGTGTTTGTGAGCCAAGGGACAAAGGAATACCATGAGTAGGTCCTGGGCTTTTTAACGAACAAGGAGAAAGGCCATTTCCCCTTCATCACAGTCAGAACTTCCGGTGCTCTAGCCCCCGAAGGTCAGAACTGCCAACCTGGGCACTCCCAGCTCTAGAAATAAAAACATGGCCCTAGTTTATCAAACTCACTAGGAGCTAAACAAATCACCTCCATAGAAGCAGCCAGACACGTCACATCAGCATTACCATCTCTGGTATCACCTAAACTGTGGCTCATTTTTAAAATTAAATGAAGTAAATGTAAACATTTGCTCAGAGTTTTGCACACGCTCAGGCCTGCTATCAAACACAGAACTTCTGGATGTGTCATCAAACCAAACACTTTGAAAAGGTATCCACACGGTGAAGAAGCCAGAGCCAGGGTCAGCCCAGAAAACATAACTCAGTTGCCTGTGTAGGTTGGCTGTAATAATGAAATAATACTATTACGAAATCTTTTCAAATTTCCTTCCAATTGGCTTAAAAGCCGTATCTGTTTTCTGAAAAAGAAAAACTGAACATCCATTTCCTCAATGATCCCCAATAAAACAACATAATCCAACTAAAACACACTCGTGGCATCACTGCCCCTCCCAGCCCTCCCTCAGTAAGAGCAGGCACTCGTTGCTGAGCAGACAGCTCTGCCAGCTGCAGGGCTCCCTGCTGGAGCCCAGAGAAGGCAGAGGGATGAGAGCCACAAAAGAGGGCTCCCTTCTGTATTTCACATGTGCCTAGCTACATGGCGTACGGCAAGACCTCAGGAACGCCATGGCCATCTGCTGTCTGTCACGCATGGAGGCCCCACTGCCCAAGACTAACTGCAGGGCTGCAGCGAAGGCCCATCCACAGGAATGACTTCTGTTCCTTTGTAACTGTCTTTGTTACTGAGAACGGTTGGTCAGGGTGAAGTTTAGAGTGAAGTTTATGAAACTATACACTCAACAGACACAAAATCACTTTCTTTCTCTTTAACAAGTCATTTACGCAGCTGGGAAAATAAACATACTCTTTCAAGCAAAATATATACTGACAGTTAAACCTATGGAGGTCCGCAGCTAGGCCACAGATCATCAACAGATGGTCAATTCAACAATGGAACTGAGAGGTCCCCATCCTGGCACTGCTCAAAACACAGAAGGGAACAAGTGTTAAAGTAGATGCAGCTTGGTGTCTGCTCTCAAGGAGCTTTCCCTCTAGTCAGGGAGCCAACAGCCACAGCACTCATCGCAGGCACAAACGACAGCACTAAGGGGGTGCAGGCAAGTCGGGACCAGAACCCAGGGCACAGCTGCAGATGAGCCAGTTCCCAGGAGGGAGATGCTGAAATGGTCTTCAAGAGTTCCAGGCGCTGGCTGGGGATCCAACAGTATACGCAGATTCTTGGTGCCACCTGGTGGACAACTGCAGCACATTCCAAGACTCCAGCTGTAAGAAGCCTTCCAGACCATTCTGATTCTGTTCTCTCCTCATGGACTCTCTGTCTACAAACCAACGGCAATTTTCAAAAATAACTAATCGGTCATGCCCATCTGCTGCCAACCAGACCTTCTAATCAGGTTCACCAAATTCCAGGCAAAAGCAAAGAAGCTTGACATGTAAAGCTCCACAGCTTTACTCATGGAAATGTACCATTCCCATCAGGTTTTCAGGAACTCTAGCAACACCCAGAAGGTCCCACTGGTACTTCTGGAAACCCTGTGGATGCAGAAATTCCTACTAAGAACATCCGTGACCTTCTCTCAATATTTCAACAGAAAGGGTAGAAAACTATCCCTAGAAAGAAAGATGAAAACAAAAGCTACACCACTCACTACCCTGCTGTTCTCAGGACGGAAACATCTTTGACCTAAAACAAGGACCAGTCCTATTTAGGAATTCAGTCCTGTTTAGGAATTCAGAAAACCCCATGTTTCTTCCCTGAATTTAAGACTTAAAAAAAAAAAAAAAAAAAACCTAAAATATTGGGGGGCTATCTCCTTTGGGGACAACTCAACCTGCGTTAAGCTTTTCCCACTTTTGAGAAAATTGGGAGACTTTCAGAAAAATGTTTCCAGAAACAGCAAGGGCACTGAAGCTGAGTGATTCAGGGGCTCGGCAGCCCAGAGAACTGGTGGGGTCCTGGCTTTGCCACTGTGCTACAAAGTCACATCCACCAGTATCTTGTTTCCTCATTTATAAAACAGGTAATGACCAGACCCATGCTGTCTATCTCACAGAGCTGTTATGAAGATACAATGGCATACCAGTTCAGAAAATATTTCAAGATCTCCAACAGCTACGTAGAAAGCTGTGTGTGGTGGACGTCGTTCCTCAGAAGACAGGGAGAACCGTTTGTGGTACAAAGGACGGTTTCTGCAGAGGGCCAGTGGGGACCAGTTAAAGGAAGACAGTGATTCCGGAGAAGTCAGGCTGGGCACAGCTGACGCCCCAACAAAGGACATGAGGGCGTAGTGTGAATCAGCTCTCGGTATCAGTCAATCAGCAACGAGCCTTTTCACGTGATTTAGGTATAATAACACTTTACAAAGGAAGCCCTCACTGCTGTTAAATTACCAAAAAGCACTTAACTCTCTTGTCAAGACTGTAACAAAAGCCAGAAATCAACTGGAAGTGGCTAGAAAACACAACATATACACCAGTCGCAAGCGGCGCTCACTCTAGACCTGAAGTTCCTTTTCTTACGGCCGGCTGGGCTCCCTTCCTTCCCCTGCTCCCCGATCCCGCAGCACTGGCCTTCACACGGACTCCGTGCCCGAAGAGACTGGCACACACAACACCCAGGCTAAGCCTGTCCGCTTACCGCTGTTGTTAGGTGCCGTCAAGTCGGTTCCGACTCACAGCGACTCTCTGTACAACAGAACGAAACACTGCCTGGTCCTGCGCCATCCTCACAATTGTTGCCATGTTTCAGCCCACTGCTGCAGCCACTGTGTCAATCCACCTCATCGTGGGTCCGTTTATAGCATCAGATATATAACAACCGCGCCTTAAATAAAACATTAAGCAGGATCATAAGAAAAATATAAATAAGTACCTGCTAGAAGCAGACAGATACAAGACATTTGGTCATATTCCCCTGGTAAAACAAAAAAAGAAATTCCTAAAATAAGACTGGTGGAACACACCAAGAAAGCAGGCCCTTAAAAAGTCACAGCAATCCAGTGAGGAAACCGTGGTGGCTTAAGAAATGGGGAATCAGGGCAGGAAGAGCAGGGAGGTGTGGGAAAGCCAACAGGACGTGGCTGGCCCTGTGTTATCTGCAGCAGAGGCGCAAACCTGCAAGCCACTACCTCCCACCCTGCACACCTGCCCCGGGCCAGGCTGGGAGCCCGCCTGCCACGTCACACAGGGGCAGGCACCATCTTCCCAGACTACTGATCCTGCTTGAAGATTCAGAGTGGGGGCAAGGACGTGCTTCACAAGTAAAATCATTTAAGATACTATTTTTCAATTAAAACAAGTAGATGTGGAAATAAAAGTTTGCCTAAAGATAAAACAGGGAAGCTGAAAAAAAATTACTCCCTTATCTGTTCAGGTAATGCCTCAAGATGCCTGGGGCACGTTTTCTATATATCACCCCCCCGCCCCGCCCGCCCCCGCCAGGAGCTGGAGGGAGTCTGGAAAGTGCTGCTGCAGAAGGAACACAGGCAGTTACAACTTCTACCATCCCCACCCCCAGCACGTCTAAGCTCTGAAGCCCGCTTTCTTGTCGGGTCGGTCCTGACGTCTAGGCCAGAATCTTCAGGTATGTGTCACTTGCCCGGAATCAATCTCTTCCTGAAACTGGCAGGTGAGAGCAAGCACATGGCCGACCTCGGCTGTGATACAGGGGTGATTCTGATTGGAGCTGTCGGCTGACTCACTTCTGATAAAATCACTGCTACCCATCTCCCCTCAGGCTCACACACCCACTCTCATCTTAGGATGCTCTGATCCTTTCCTACATATTCCAAAAGACATTTCTGCCTGGCTATAAGAAATCTTTCTCCTGGCCCATTTTCTGTTCTGACTTTTGCATGCTAGCTAATATCACTTGGAACTGCTCTGCATCCTCAGCATCTCTTCTTACTGCTGGCCTCAGCTTTTGTATATGAAGCTCGGCAATCCCTTTACTGGAGACTCTGAGAGCTTCAGAGAACAGTCTATGAATGACTGACAATTTTCATACACGTCAGACAGACCCGTGTTTGGATCTCCCCTTTGACAGTTACTAGCTATGTGACTTGGACTTGACCTCTCAAAGCCTCGATTTCCTTGTCTATTTAAGATGATAACCACTGCTTCTTTGTAAGGGTTATTGTGAGGACTGAATGAGATATCATATATAAAGCTACTTATACACCGCCTGGTATATAGGGCCCTGAATAAATGCCAGTGCCTTTCTTCACTTCCTCCTAAGTATAAACACATACAGACTTCACTGCCTGGGTAAAAAACTAAATAAATGCCTCTGTTTTCACTGGGTGCTTTCTCCTAAAAGAAGATTCAAAGTGTACTTGTAAACAAGCAGTGAATATTAAATGGCTGAATCTGAGAAAACCAAACCCTTCCCAAGCATTCTGAATTGCCTACATAATTCTAAGACATTCCCTTGGCAACAGGAGCTTACCATCTAAATCATCTGCTCCTTGAGAGGAGCAGACTAGTCTGCAGGACTGGGCAAGGCTGTGTCCCCTTTCTCAGCATCATCAAAGGATATCATATTACCCACATTTGTTTTACTATGGATTACCTACTTTTAAATGGCC